GCTGTAAAGTAAGATTTCGAACATTGATACTGAAACAGAAACAGTGGTTTACGTTTGACAAACTCATCTCCAAAGACAACTTGTCAGGCCCATACTCAGGGGCGGGCAAATTGGGCATTTGCCCGAGGGCCCCGCCGGACAGGCCTCTGAGGGGGCCCGAGCTGCTGAGGAAATTTCGCTCGCCCAAAAATGATGTACGCGATACACGCGTGCAGCACGTGACGTCAGAGCTATGAACGTGTTGAATTCCGAGCCATAACACATGAGATTCCATTCTGTTGGTTGTTGTACTTATGTTTTTCTCTTAACCACCGCCCACAAGCGAATTTGAGAAAACCGCGAGGTATGCCTCTGGAGCTCAGAAGAGGAAACTCGAGAGGGACCGAGATGACGAAGCAGCAGCAGCAGCGCTTCTCAAGCAGCCGAAACTCATGAGCTTCGGCTTCGTTCAGAGCAGCGAGCAGTTCAGTGACGGCATTGGATTTCCGAACATAGCAGTTATCGTTAGGAGTGTGCGGCACTGGACGATAGAAACAACGGAGGAAAGGATGAAGAAGTACTAGAATCGCGGGAGGATGAGTTAGTAACGGCGACGGGAAAGATGGAGAATGGGAACTATATGGGACCAATAACCTTGGATGTCGCGACGTGGCCTCCTCGCGTCTCGGGTGCTACTAGAGATCACATTATTCGATTTGTTGGAACGCCAAACTCCACCGAGGATATTCCACTTGGATGGGACCCGGCTGATGGGCGCAAGTTCTGTCCTTCCATGTCATTCAATGAAGCTGACAATGAACGCATATGTTTGATGCCCGATACTCAAAAGCAAGCAGTTCTCTGTCGGCCTTGTAAGCTGCTCGCGAGCGGAACGTTTGCTTTGAGAAACGGCGGGCTCAAGAAGTGGGAACATGCCCATGATAACCTTCGATCGCACGAGTCAGGCGAAGCTCATAAGAGAGCCATGTGCGATTGATGAGCTCTCCACCACAACATCGTTACAAAATCTGGGACTGACGGTGAGCTTCAGTTAGCCACCGAAGAAGAGGCGAACAAATGGGTTGAGATCCTGAACCGTGTCGTTCATGCATTGACGTTTGTAACTGCCCGTGGACTCGCCGTGCGAGGTTATTCGCACAGGCTAGATGATATGTCGAATGGGAATTGTGTCGGTTTGTTGGAGATGATGGCTGTGTATGACCCCGTCCTGAGAAGCCATTTGGATGCGCTACGTGAGGCTCAGGGTGCTAGTCGGAAGTTGGCAGTAAGCTCTCTGTCGCCAAAGATACAGAACGAGTTCATCCACGTTCTTGCATCATGCTTGATTGAGAAAATCAAGGCTGAACGAGCATCGGCGGAGTTCTTTAGGATCATGTGTGATAGCACCCCGGACATGGCACGTCTCGAAAGGCACAAGTCCTTCATAAGGTGATGATAATGCTGCCGAACCATGAGATCGTCTTTCTAGAGAACTGAAGAATTTCTTCACACAGCAGGTAGGTCATCCTTGATGGATCAACATGGAAAGTCGGTGAGAGGTTTATGGGTATGCGTAGTATGAGGGCGAAAACAGGAGTTGCAATAGCCGAGCTCATAATGGAGATGATGGCTTGCCATGATCTGCCCAAAAGTTTTCTTGTTGGACAGTGCTACGACAACGCGGCTTCGATGTCGGGGGCATACAAGGGCACGAGAGCAGTAACCAAAACCCACTACCCATACGCCGATTACTATGCTTCCTCGAGTCATACATTGAACTTGACGTTGAACGATTGCGCTGGATCGTGTATACCAGCCAGTATCTTCTTCGGTCATCTCAACAGACTCTTCAACTTGTTTAGTTCTTCTCCAAAAGGGTCACTACCTATGCCGTGCATGGGGGGATCAGGCTCGTCTTGATTTCTTAAACCGACGTCTACGGGAATCTAACAGATCGGGCTATGTTCTCCTCCTTGAGCTCAATGAGATCAATGAGGTTCGGACG